GCCGCCAAACGGAGACCAATTTTGACTCAAAATGCCTAAATTCCTTTTTTTTCAACTAAAACAAGGTGGTTACTTAACGAATAATAAATTGAATGGTATTCCAAAGGTAGAGAACTTTCATAACTTGTTATTGTAAAGTGTTTCTTTAGAAGTCAAGTTTGTTATATGTTGGGGTTTTAAGTTTGAATAGATATATATTTATAATAACTTTATATTATATTATATATAATAGTGACGGAATGAAAGTTCTATAATGTCTGTCATTACTATTTTATTTTGAATGGATGTTGTCACTTTTTTTCCATTATGAATAAATCATTGTTTTTATTTATGTGTATGATTAGTAACCGAATAATCAAACTAAATCAAACTGAAATCAATAACAACAAAATCGATAAATATATATTATAGTAATTAATTTGATTGATTTCGAAATTTAAAAATCAATTAAATTAATCTAATTTTGATTTTAACTAACAACCGACCAAAATTGACCCGTAAATGCTCCTGTAATAACTAGATACTAGTATATCATAAGTCATAATCAATTTAAATAGTTTTGTAAAGGAAGAAGATAAAAAGGTTGTTAAAGGGTGGGTAAACTACGTTGACTCCAAATTCCAATATATATATGTTAGTGTCTGAAATTAGGTAAAATAACAACAAAATATTATGAAATGATGAATAATCAAATGAAAGTGATACTATGTATTAAGAAACGTGTCATTCAAAGATAGTTGTCTACTTGTATATGAGAGTTGCTTGGCATATATATGCATCTAGAATTGCTAAAATTCCTTGCCATCTAAGCAATACAACATAATATGATATAGATATATAATATTTCCGTTGTTAAAAAATATAATTAAAATATCACTGCCTCAGTTGATGTACTTTTGAAAAGAAAAGGCAAAAAGGTTTTTACATTAAGAGGTGGTTTGATGGCTAATGAAGAAGTGAATTATTCATGTATTTAAATTAGTATAGTTGGTAATACTATGTGTGTTATGTATAAAACTCAAACTCCTCATATATCAAGTACGATATGTGATTATCAATTTACACAATTTTGCTTAATTAATATATATGTCATTATGAGATAATTTATGTATTATTTATATAGAGTAGAAAATAGATATAACTAAATTGACTCTTTGTGTAGTTAATTTACGTGCATGTTTAATTTGCTTTAACCTAATATTTTTATATTTTGGGTCCCAAAAGTAATTTGCATGACAACTTTTGGATAACTTAAATATATGTTGTCAAAAAAAAAAGATAAAGTTAATGGCATAGGTAATCCTAAAGGCCAGTGGGATAAAAAGGAAACACATTATAATCTAGAGGAAGCAAACAAATGTATAGACTTTATTATGTTTATAGTAATACGTGCATGACAAAAGGAAACATAACAAAATAATTATGTTAGTTGTGGTATAATATATACTTGAACCTACCACCACAAAGCAAATATGATAACAAAGGAAGCCAAATAATTGTTGTTTTCAAGTATTTCACCAACCTATGATATATTCAAAACTTTCACAAGGTTGAACTCTTTTATCTTTCATCTACCATAAGTTCTTGGTATACCTTAGGAAAATATCGTGCACCCAAAGTGTGACCTTGTAATCAATGATGTTGTTGAGAATTCTGAAATCTTAGAAATTCAAAATTCAACAGAGACAAAATTAAAACATTAGGTGATTATTCTCATTTGTCCTAGTCTTGGTGGACAAAGTTATCCGATACATGTTGCTGGTGGGAGGTGACAGCCTGACAGGTATCTCGTGAAATTAGTCGGGACTGGCCCGGACACCACGATTAAAAAAAAATAAAAAAAGAATTTCTGACAAAATTTGTTAAAAATTAGTTCGTCTATAATAAAATCTAATTTTTTTAATACGGCAAGCTGAAATACAAGGTTATTTGTCTTATTTTCTGATTTATCAATTTAACTTTAATTAGTTTCAAAGTGATATGATAATATATTAATGTATAAAAATAAAATAGTTGTTAATACATAAAAATTAAAGACGTACCAATTTGCGTTACATAACTGCTGCCATGAGTTGATGTTAGGTTATAATTTTGTGCTGGTAGGTTAAGGTCAATTTCAATAAATCAAATTACGTATAATAAGAAGCTCTCTTGGTCCATTTTTGCACATACAAATGGTGGCGGAGTCAGGATTTTCAATAAAGGATTCAAAAAAATAAATACACAAAATAGTTGAAGGGGGTTCGACATCTACTATATACCTAAAAAATTATTTTAACTATGTATAAATAATATAATTTTTCATCGAAAGGAATTTGAATGAGAAATTGATATAAATAGTTGATCGCCAAAATAATAACATATATATATAGTTAGTAAATGTAACAATTTTTTGTGTAACTTGCCCATAATTTTATGATATGGGTTTGACCAATTGATTATGTAATCTTCGGCAGCCCCGTATACCCTACCCCTCTCCCACAAAACAAAACAAAAAAAACAATAGGTCAATCAATTGTCAAATTTTGACATTTAAATAATTCATCTATTTGAAATTGAATGTACGTCCATGCTTATTTTAAATTAAAAGTCGAAACAATACCATATATAATAACATTTCAAAAATGATTGCTAAAATAATATGAAAAGGGGAATTTAATTGATGATAAAAGTTTTCCTTTTTACAAGATCAACATACGACTTTTCAAAACTAATTTATATAATTCTTGTAATGTCAATTAACGTCAAACACAGACATTTTATTAGTTGAAATAGAATTGCTCTGATGTTGGTATAATATTACCAGTCAACTCATTTGATTGCAAGAAATTTGGTAATCGATATTTTCTTGATTTGATTTTAGTATTTAATTTAAGAATTCAATAATATTTGATTTTGTTTTTATTTGAATTCAAAGATGGATTAAGAAAGCAGTAGCACCTCCCGATGTTTTGCCAGAAGCGAAGCTCGTTTTCCAACAGAAAGAAAAATAATTTATCAAATCAACTATATAAATATCTAGTTACAAATTATAATTATGGTTATTTATGGTTTTTTTTATTTTAAAAAAAAATTGTACTATATATTATCTTTTGTAGTTTTGGGTTTCTTCTTAAATTGTACCTTGAAACAATATATATTTGTGCACTTCTGGCATAAATTACAGGTCTTAATGTAACCAAAAGTATTTTGAATCATCTGCTTAATTACTTAAATTAAAAATAGCTAGCGGGTGTATAACCAAAATTTTAAAAAATAAATAAATATATATATATATATATATATATATAACTATGTATAATTAATGTATACTCTTCTTATATTGGCTATTTAGGCTTTTATTTTAGCCTATCTTGTGAAGATCTTTGGGTGTCCATGACTAATCAAAAAATAAATAAACAATAAATCCAACTGAGTATTTGTGTAAACATTGAGATTTTAAGGAAAAGCTATCTAATTAGACAAAAATTACTATCATATTTATTAATTCTTTCTATAATTTATAATAATTACATATTTTCTTACTAATTAATAATTTAATATCAATTTCAAGTCAGATATACTAAAATTCTTTATTTATTTTTAGGGAAAATAAGCTAATAACCCATAAAAGCAAAATAATTACAAACATACACCCCTTTACATTCATACCTCACTAAATAATATATACCCTCTTACTAATATCATTAAGGCTGATAATTTCGCTGAATTTATACTAAATCGATATATATACTGTATTGATATCATTAAGGTTGATGTTCGCTGAATTGATACTAATCAGTATATATATATACTGTATTGGTATCATTAAGGTGTCTTGTTAAGAAATTACTCATTAGTCAATGATACTATAAGAGTATATACTCTTATAGTATCATTGACTAATGAGTAATTTCTTAACAAGAAACCTTAATAATACCATATATATACACTCTTATAGTAGCATTGACTAATAAGTAATTTTTGAACAAGAAGCATTAATGATACCAATACAATATATATATATATATATATACTGATTTAATATCAGTTAAACAAAATTATCAACATTAATGATACCAATGCAATATATGATACAAATTTAGTATCAGTTAAGCGCAAAATATCACCTTTAATGAATGTGAGGTATGAACTGTAATTATTTATGAGAGAATGAGTATTTCAGGAATTAGTTTTTATTTAGATATAAACTTGTAATTACTTTGAATTTTATGACTCATTTATATAATTTTCTCTTTATATTTTTCTCAATTGGGCCCAACAAATGATATTGAAATAGCCCTTCATGAATACCAACAACTAAAAGTGACATCGATTTAGGGGTGCAGTTTAAAAAATAATCATTGTTTGGATATTTAAAATTTAGCCCGCAACAATTTATTTTTCTTCTTTGCATGAGTTATATAATCGACACATGTTTCATTCTAATTAAACCAAAATTTAGTTTCATTTCATCAGACATGAAAATCCAATATCTACTTTGACATGTTTCATATAATTATAAAGAGAAAAAAAATAATGAAAAAAAGAAAAAGGAAGAAGGAGGATTAAATGTTGATTATATTTTAAATAAAGGCTCTAAAAGTGACAATTAGTGTGCTTAACATCATACTTGCATTCTCCAATTGGATCTTCAAAAATTTCCAACGGGTCATTCGCACAAATGTTTCCATTTTTAGGTTAGATTTTCAATTTTTATCCTTTGATTTTTTAATTAAAAAAAACATTATTAAGAATGTTTTAAATAATACATTTGACTTCGACGTATAACTATACCTTGCAATTTTAAATATACATAAATAAACACTTAAATTTATATAAATTTAACACATTCATACACTCCACATGACAACGCTTATGACACACAATTATTATATAGAATATACATATACATTTATTTGTTCAATTTTATACAAATTTAACGGTCTACTCGTACCTTCCAAAGTTGTTTATGTATAGGTAGTTTAGTATAAAGAGCATCATCTCCATTTTTTCTCCAGGTTCATTATCCATCCATGGCTACCATAACTGCTGCAACTTCCAGAATTGGAATTCAATGCAACTTCGAACCTCTAAAGCACCATAATTTCAACAGTTGTATCAAGTTCTCTCTTTCGATTCCCTCTATTTCAAGCCCTAATTTCTCTTTTCACAAGCTTTCATTACATACAATGCCGGCCAATTCGTTCCGAGCCAACGCTTCCTCTGCTATAGGTATTCTCTCACTCATTCACAAGCGAATTATGTTGGACTATGCTTTAGATTTATAGTTTCGTTGATTATTGCTGTAACTGGCTCGACTGCGATTTTCATTTTTTGTAACTTTGAGTTATTAGAAATTTAGCTACATATGTGCTTGTAGAGACAATCGCTGAAAGTCCTGTACTATGGCTAGATTGTTAGTTAATTAAGCTTAAATTTTACGAAATAGCTTATTGATCGGTGATTCTACCTTCAAATAAGGGCTAACTTGACAGATGAAAATGTTCCCTGTCGATTTCCAAGACTCGAAATGTCACTGTGGGAACAACACTGGCATTGTGGGAAGGCTCCCTAATGAGTGAAATTGGGTTTATTTGCATATGCACTTGCGGTTGTCATTGTATAACTGGAGTCTTGAGGTGCCAAAGAGATTATGCTACATATGCAGTAGCGGTCGTCTTAGTATAAATTTGAGGATGTGCCATAGAGATTATGCCAGATTTGCATTCATTAGCTGTCAAAATTTGGAACCGTTCATTTGACAAGAATATTTCTTGGTTAATTGGATCACAATATGATGGATTATATGTATATTAACTTAGTTATGCTGTGAGGAATTTCTTTGATTGTGCTAATTTCAATATCCAAGTACTCATGAATTAAGTCCCATAATTCCAATGTTGACACACAGCCAATAGTCTCTAAAATGTATGACACTGTTTCATTTCTATGCTACTTACACAACTTTGAACAGTTCAAAATGTAAACTTTAACTGTGCTGACTCTACCAAGCTAACTGTTCAAGCATTACATCAGTATTTTCATTCACCTTCTATTGTTATCTTTCTCAAAAAAATATTTCTGTTCACTTTCACTAAGATAACAAAAAAAATGAAAATACATCTTAAATCACATGTCTAATCTAATAGTGTTATATTAAATGGGACGGAGGGGGTAATTGTTAGCAATAGGTGGCAAATCGATGTGGAAGAATACATACTGTTTTACTCTTTAGACATACATCTTCCTGAAGTTCAATTGTCAAGTTTCATTCTTTTAGTCTTACTTATTGGTTCCTGAAGACGCTCCAAGTGAAGAATTGGAGGCTTCTTCAAGGGGGGGCATTGGAGCAAACGACTTGTTAATTGTAGGACCTGGAGTTCTTGGGCGTTTAGTGGCTGAAAGATGGAGAGAGGTACACATCCTGAACTAATGATCATATGATTTCTTTGAAAAGTAGGAACCATCCTACCTTGAACCTAATTTAAAATATACATGCACTTTTTATAAAAAAATCAGGTTTATTGAGGAAATGTTTGATGTTCATTTTCTGAATCGATATTAGTTGTATGAGTTTTTGGCTTACTAATTGTGACAGAATGGTGGATTTCTGCTACGCAGTATGCATCATAGTTGAGACTGCTAAGAGTTTTGGACCCTTTAATGTGGCAGGAATACCCAGGCTGTCAGATTTTTGGGCAGACAATGACCACTGATCACCATGATGAACTTATTAAAATGGGAATTAGTCCATCTTCAAGAGAGACCAAGTTTACGTCTAAGTTCCCTTATGTTATATACTGTGCTCCTCCATCCCGAACTGAAGACTACCCTGGTGATGTTAGGTAAGCTCGGCAGTTCTTGCAGTAGCTATCTCCTCTCAACTATCTGTAGAAGCATTCTTCGATATTTAGTTTCAAATATTTCGGGGCTCATTAGGCATGGTGCATGGTGTGTCAGTTCTTCGGGAACAAGAACATCATGATGGGAAATTTCTGTTAATATCTCATATAGAGAGCACAAATGCTTTTAAACAGTTGTTCAGTAATAAGCAAAATATTTGCTTGTTTAGTAAAAGTGTAAAACTATTGTTTTGTTGTGAAATAGTCCCTCCTTTCCTGCTGATATATGGTTGCTGCTAGCATCCTAGCTAGTCAGTAGCAGTAAATGCTTTATGTAGCAGACAGCTGCATGAGTATTATATGGGATGGTCAGACCATTTTTCTGATTCGGTTCTGCTAATCTGGGCAGTAATTGTCAACAGCAAATGTAGGTTTAATGATTCCAAACATTGTTATTGTTTGTCAGCATTGTTTTTCTTCAGATTTTCTGTGCTGACACTGATCATATTGATACTTTAATTTGGTTAAAACTACAAACTCAGTGCCACTGTAAATTATTTTCTATTTCACACATCCAATGAGCAGGGACGCTGCATTAAAGTGGAGTGGTGAAGGCTCTTTCCTATTTACCTCAAGCTCTGCACCATATGACTGCTCTGATAATGGATCAATAGATGAGGTGTGATATCCTGCATAAACATTATACTGCTGGTAACAGTTCCTTATTCTGATTAATTCCTCTTGAAGATGTTTTTTAGCCTTGCCAATTAAAGACATAGGCTTTGGAAACTGGCTTTTTTGAAGGAAATTACTGAAGTTTCATCCTTAAGAGAATTTTTCATGTATTTTAATAAGGATGTCTGAGCTTTCATTAAACCTTTTTGGTTGTCAAATGTGTAGGATGGTCCCATAGTCCCAATTGGAAGGAGCCCAAGGACTGATATACTTCTCAAGGCAGAAGAAGTAGTGCTGGAGTTTGGTGGCTGTGTTGTTAGATTGGCGGGTCTTTATATATCCTTGGATACAGATCAAAGATCTAGAATTCTTTTTATGTAGCCTTTAGATCTTCATTTTTTATTTACCTTAACCAGTAACACAAGGAAGACAGAGGTGCACACACATATTGGTTACATAAAGGAACTTTGGATATTCGCCCTGATCACATCCTCAATCTTATCCATTATGAGGTGACTGCACATCGATGCTTTTATCATGCTTAGTTTAGAGGTTACCCTTCATTCTTCTTCATGTGTCTACACTCTACAGTTGTGTCGGTGATATTTTGGTTTGTCTTTTCTTACAGGATGCTGCCTCCTTGTCAGTGACCATTTTGAAGAAGAGGGTCCGCAGTCGGATTTTTTTGGGTTGTGACAACCACCCCTTATCCAGGTCATCTCCAATCTACATGCTTGTTAACTTTTCTGGCTCAAAGTCGAAACTCTCTGTCCCATGTTGCCCTTAATTGTTGTATTATCTTGTGCCAATAACAGGCAGGAACTAATGGACTTGGTCAATAAAAGTGGGAAGTTTGAGAAAAAGTTTGAGGGTTTTACTGGTAAGTGACTTCTTTTGAAATCCTTTAGCCACTGGTTTAAAGAATCACGCTACAATAGTCATTTATTCCTTCTTTCAGGAACTAGTGGCCCTCTAGGGAAGAAGTTAAACAATTCAAAAACTCGTGCTGAACTAGGATGGGAGCCTAAATATCCAAGCTTCGCTCAGTTCCTTGGAGTTTCAGATTAAATTGCTGCAGGTGCTCTATTCTTTTGAATTATTGAAGAAATGCGGGTGAACTATTTTCACAGAGTAGTCTTTTAATGCGGCATATTCTGATCATTGTTTTTGTGCACTTAATTGCACCATGTTGTGCAGATATTGTGTGTGTAACATAATTATGAGTTTTGGTTTATGTGTACTGTTTCCACTGTAATCTGTTGTTAGGAAAGTTTGGTTGTGTTTGTCAATTACTACTGAGATGTTCACAATATTGGATTAAGGTGACATTCTTGAAATGTTGGGTTTTTAGTTAGAAAAATCTTTATTAGTTTCCTCATTCTTAAAAATGAAAGAAGCAAATGATCAAATAGAGGAAGTTATTCGTGAAGATTTTCAAGACATAACAACTAAAAAGGCTTTCAGAAGGAGCTCAGATACTTGAAAAAAGATGATCACGAAGATATCTCAATAAGTTATGCCTTCACGTATAGAAAAAAAGTTGGAATCGAAAAATGTTGTTCGTTTTCATATAACATTGCTATTGAAGTAATGCAACAAGACGCGGATCTTGAGCCAAAGTCTGTTGATGAATGTTAGATTAAAGAAATAATTGAAACTGTCCTGGCGAATATGGTACATTAGTGAGATTTTGTTATAAAAAAAAGAGACCATATTTACCTTGTTTTGTAAGAAGGTATGAATGTGAATTTGTCAAAATAACTATTTATATTTATTTTTGAAACTTCTAAAAAAAATACTTAAAAAATAGTTGAACATTTGAGAAAGAATTTAAAATGAACGATTTTGAATATATAAAAATTTTATGTTTGTCTTATAGATTGAACATTCAAAGAATCAAATATTTGTCTATCTCATGTACGTAAAAGATTCTAAAGAGCACCTCTAAATTTAGCGCGAATTATTTGTTTCATTTCTGAACTATTAACAAACTTAAAAACACCTCTTTATTTGACTAACTGAACTTAGATACATCTCTGATTTTGCAACATGAATGAAATACACCCTTATATTCTCGCCAAGTTTATGGGCCGTATATCCATCACTTCTCTTGACTTTTTATTAAGAGTCTTATGCTCCTACGAGAATTTGAGATCACTTGCTATGTCATGTGACATATCAGACAGGTGGTGTATCTAAGTTTCGTTAACCAGTAGAGGGTTTTTTTTGAAGCTGTCAATAGTTCGAAAACAAAACTAATAATTTATGTCAAGTTCAATAGTGTTTTCAATACTTCTCTCGATATTCTTTTAAAGTGTTTTTACATGAATATAGCATATTCTCATTGACCACTCCAATAATTATGAGATCACTTAATATAAATAGAAAGATCAATTTCAACTTAAGAAAGCAATGAAAACTTCTTTGGCAATGGAACTCCATATTGGACACTTATACAACCTACATACCTTCCATTACATGTACCATCATTTTGATTTCTTTTTATATATACATTCGAAAATTCTAAGAAATATGATTTTATTTTAAGTGTGTACTAACCCTCACAATTGAATAATCTGACATTGAGCTATGAGTGTTACATTTTTTAAGCAACTAGGTATGCCAAATATGAAGTTTTAATGAATAATTAACAAGCATAATGCAAGAATCAGATGCAAAATATGTCTAAAAAGAATTATGTCAAATTACTACTGAAGAAAAATGTCCTTAAAGAGTCTACTCAAAGAGTGTTAGTGAAATTACAAAATAACAAAATTACAAGATTAAAATTGAAAAAAAAAAATGAAGAAATAAATCTCTTCAGGCTGAGGCGCGGATATCTCGCTCTCTTTAAGGAAATTCAAGCCCACTGCAACACATGTTTTCACCGGTCCAACAGTAGTTCTTCTTGACTTGTCCCCTCCAGGATACAACAGTCTAATCACAATATATAACTCAACAACTCTGGACAAGAGTTGAGTCCAAAGCTCCACAACAAGAACACCTCCCTTTAACTAATAAGAACTCTCTTTTTGACAAACTTTTATGCACTCTATATTTTTCTTATATATGTTGTGTGTTTCAAACCAAATGAAGACCATCACTGTTTATACTAGAAGAAGTGTTCCTAGCAATGAATATGAAGATAAATAGTGTAGTAAATAGTGAAGATAATGGTCTTAGGAGTTACATATGTTACAAGGTATAATGGAGGAATAAAGAGTATGAAGTAAATGGGATAAGAGGCTAACAGCCACCAACGCCTTGCACCTGCTGCAGTTGCACCAAGGAATCAGTAACATATGCAATTACTCTATGGAGTAATGCACCAATTTAATGGTCCAAATGGCAGCAACAAATACAAAGTCAACCAATGCATTATTCTAATGCAATAATGCAAACGGTCAGTGTGGCAATGCAAAAAAAATTCAATATTTCTTTTAATATTAAAATGCCCCTACACTAACAAAGAGCTTGATTATAAAAGTACACTGCAAAAAAAAAAAAACCAATCTTAAAAAATTGATCTCACAAAATCGAATTAAACTGATCTCATGAGGTTTGTTTTTAAATACTTTTTTAACTAAACAGACCTTCGGAGGTCACCTTTATCAGCGTTAAAAATCAAGAAAATAGAAATCAACCTCTTGAAGTCAATTTCTTTAAAATAAATAGTCAAAAATTGAGGAAAATATCTACTCCCTCCGTTTCACAAAGAATGACCTCCTTTCCTTTTTAGTCAGTTTAAAAAAGAATGACCTCTTTCCTTTTTTGGTAACATTTTACTTTTTGCTTTCCACGTGGCATGTTTAAGACCACAAGATTAAGGACAATTTTGTACATTTGACATAACTTTAATTTAGGACCACAAGATTCAAAAGTCTTCTTTATTTACTTAAACTCCGTGCCAAATCAAACCAGGTCATTCTTTATGAAACGGAGGGAGTATTAATTAAAGTAGATTATGATTTTTGACAACTAAAAGTGAAGATTTTTCCACGTAAAATCATTATATTGGTTAATATTCTATATTTACTTTTTAATTATTTAGAAAAAAAACTTATTCCTCATTTCATAAGTGGCAACATAAAATATCATACGCAACTTGATAACTTTAAATTATGAATGGATTCAATTCAACCTACTACTAATGAAACTACTCATCATGATATATAATAAGGTAAAAAAAGATGCACCCACTAAACATAAAATATAATTTTCTATACGTCTCTTTTCTATGCCGTGCACATTTAACATGTTAACTTGTTGAACCGACCATCATTTAATAATACAAAAAAGGACATCAATAACGATTATCGGTGTTTTAAAAGGCGGGGCATGAGTCGAGACATTTTATGCGGTACGGGTCGAGACGTAAGCTCCGAGACACAAGGCGATACTTTTATGAATCTACGGGGTGTAGTCTCAATGTATATTCAATTTTATAATTTTATTACTAAAAGAAAATAAAAGTAAAAGTAAACCTTTCAATTATTTTACAAATAAATTTTATTATATAGCCTATAATATTTTCAAAAAAATATTATGATTTTTATTTGAGAAAGATATTAATCACAAAATAATGAAGAAAAAAAGTATTACAATTACTATTTTAGAAATATCATTACACCAATAATAAAAATATGATTTAAAGCAAAAAAGGTTAAAAAAAAATAATGCCTAGAGCATACGTTTTTACGCCCAAGACTTACATTTTTACGCTTGGAGAAATTCTAGGACTTACGCCTTATGGATCTACGCCTTACATTTGCGCCCTGGTGCGTTTTTGGTACACTCTGCCTTGATACTCGCCCCAAAAAACGTTTTTGAAAACACTGACGATTACGGTGGAGTGATAGTTAAGCATGTGAAAAAGGCTTTTTTGCACGTGGGAACCTTCCTTCGGTCTTGCAGCTTTGATGCTCAGTTTTGTTATCCCGCACACTCACTTTATACTTTTTCATCCTTAACTAGAGTTCTCGCATTCGAGTCTTCCTGAATATGAAAGCTCACATCCTGAATCATAATTTAGTCAGACTTCAATATAGATATCAAACACCTGAATATGAAAGCTCCTTTGTTAAGGATAACATTCTGATGGAAATTATAATTTAGTCAAATTCCAATATAAATATTGAAAACCGGATAAAAAGATATAGAAGAAAAGACAACAAGTGCTATCTCAAGATTTTTTCCATGCTCATAAATGAGCATTGAAATAAGTGGGGGAAGCAATAAAAATAGAAAAAAAAAAGATACATTAACTTGAGTTGCAAAACGACGGCTCTCTTCACATACCAAAACATCAAGCAAAACAATTATTGTCTTCATTCATTCATGTCTACTTTTAATTCCTTAATTAATTAAAAAGAATTGGTTAACTTAATTATTGAGCAATTTATAGGCACTTGTCAACTTATATTAGCTTTTGATTTGTTAATCATGATTAGTAGGGGTCCATTATTTGCTGAGATCATAAGACACTCTTGATTCTTGAAATTTGCACAATAACTAGTGGTTATTAGAGAATGAATTATATTATATAGTTTAGGTTGAAAGATCCACTCCCCTCTAAATTAGGTCATAGAGATTCTACTTTTTTATTTATTTAATTATTAGTTTATAATTATTTAGTTGTGTGTTGTGACGTAGTTTTTTTTTAATATACAAAAAGATAATCTAATAAACAGTGGTTATTAGAGAATGAATTATAATTTTCACTTGTTCTTTAGACAAATGTCAATGATGTGGTACAAAGAGAAATCTAACTTGCATGCGTACAAAGAAAAATCTAACTTGCGTAACCATTGAAGATTATAATGAAATAGTAAATATCCCTTTTATTTTTAATTAATATTTTAAATTTGAGCTCTAGGAATAGAGTCTTTGGCGGAGAGCATTTTATTTCCAAAATGAGACTTTCGGGTTGAATTAGGATTTTGAACATCCAATACCGAAAAATAAAACAAAAAAGATCTAACATGCACTATAATATTAGCAAAAGGCAACTCTATTCTATTTTGTTGAAATAGAAAAGAAGTACTTTTTATTTATTTTTACTTTGAAGTTTAACTAAATTCAAACTCATATAAAAAAAATTCTGTCAAATTCTAGCGTAGATAAATGCTATCTAACTTAAATAATCGAATTAAATTCTTTCATTTTGTTGAACTCGAAATGGAGGCTCTTTTTATCAAGAGGAGAAGATAAAGTCTTTTGGCAATAGAAGACAGT